ATGACACACGTCAGGTTGTCAGGGTGTCAGCCTGCATGTGGGGTTTGTAAGGCTCCGGCCTGATGGGCCACTTCCACACATGCTGCTCTCAGTCGCCGTCTCTTCTGCAGAGCGTGGAAACCGCGGCTAATGGCCCCTTACGCTAAATTTACCCCACGGAGACGCTGCCTGCCTGTCTGTCTTCCTCTGTCTGCCTGTCTGTCTGTCCGCCTGCCTTCCTCACACTCATTCTGTCCTCGCCGCTGCTGGCTAAACTCCATTATGATTTGTTTACCGGGTCGCTCAGCCATTGAACCGGGCCTCTGGAGTCAGGAGTGTCATTTCCAGTTGGGGGGGAGGGGTACTGTATTTGAGCAGGTCGCTGCGGATCCGTAATAACATTTGGCCTCTACCTGTCAGGCTCTCACTGGAGTCCTGCTAAGGCTGAGATGGTATTGATGAATGATTTAACAGATCATTGAGCGGCCCGTGCCTGTTCTCTGGGGGGATGGGGGGGGGTGCTGAGGTGGTACCATCTGTCTGCTGTTAGTGCTGCACATGCCAGATGGCCCCGTGGGGTTCTGTTACAGGTAGGGGGAGGGCTTCAGCAACTGACGGTGGTGTACTCACAGGTTGGACGCTTTCGGGTGCAGGGAATTGTTGAGGGGGGGGGGGGGGCACTGTATGATAACGCATTACATATAAGTAGACTAAGTCAAGGCATGTTGACCTCGGTGGCCTGTAGGAGGCGCCATCTAACCCCTTCTTCTCACCTTCTAGGCTGTCAGCATCTTCCTCAGAGAACCCCGGCCACTCCCACTGGCCGATCCGCAGACGCGCATCCCGCAGACGTGCATCCCGCAGACGCGCATGCCGCAGCCAGCCCCAGCCCCGTTCTGCTCGGCTGACCAGGTACCTGGACGCCCACGTGCTAGGCAGCGGTGTTGGTGATCAGGTTCCATGTTTGACACCAGCCTCCCCCCCCCTCCCCAGCACCCATCAATAGGAATTAATGGGAAATTTCCCAGAATTTTGCAACCCAAGTAGTGTGTGGCTCAGCCAGTTGTGATTGAAAGGTCGCTGGTTTGAATCCCATCCTCGATGGGATAGTCACATCTCCGGCAGAGGTTCCTGCATAGCTGTCCCCAAACTTCACGTTCTTGTGTGTGTGTGTGTGAGTGTGTGTGTGTGTGTGTGTGAGTGAGTGAGTGCATTATGTGTCTGTTCTCTGCCGTCAGCTCGCTTGGAAAGAACCGCTACAGAAATGTGTCCTTAAGCCAGAAAATAAAAAGGGAGACTGTGACAGAGAGAGAGAGAGAGAGTAGAGCGACGCTGTCAGACGCTGGGCTCCGATCTAACGCCTAACGCTGCCGCTGACGCTTCAGGAACGTTGTCAGCCTCTGGTTAAAACCAAAAATATAGCACCATAGATGCACACTGTCGAGGGCTGGGGGGGGGGGTTTATGCTGTGAGTCTCTCAGATCCTTCATACCAGATTATCATCTTTATGATAATAAATGAGATAGGCTCCCCCTTCCTTCACTTAATGGTATGTGCCCCCCCAGGAATGTGGGTCTGAGGGTTCCGGTTGGCCGTAACTGCGGCAGTGCGTCCTGTGTGTGCAAACACGACCCTCACGTGCGCCGCTGCCCGTCGTCGTGGATACGGAAGCCTGTGAATATGTGTGTGTCATCCGTGGGATGCGTGTGCTGACGAATGCCTCCTCACTCCCCTCCCCTCCCCTAACGGCCGTACATCCGCGAGTCCGTGCCCATTCTTGCTGGGGTGGTCTGTTTGTCCCACCCCTCATTTAAAGCATTCTTGCCCCTTTTTGGGAGATTGGGAAGAGGCCCTCACACATGCACGACTGGAGAAAATTTAGTAAAAACATTGGTTTAGTCATTTTTCAGCAATCGATTACTTCAAAATCGCCGTCTAATGAATGGTCATCATTGATTTGTGTGAGGGTGTCTGCTGTTTAAATAGCCCCGCCCTAAGCTCCGCCCATGTCCCGCCCTTTCCATGTGCTGCTCTCCCAGACACGCCCACCCTCAGACCACACACACAGCACAGCTCCACTTGGGTGATGGCTGGTGTAGGCCACACTCTTCTAGTTACTGCAGAAGGTGTGCGAGCTCGTATCCCAGCCTCTCCGGATGATGCATCGGCGTGGTGGAGATCCACAGTGTTCCGCCGAGGATCCGGCCCTAGGCAGGATTACGCTACGTGACCAGAATGTCCTGCTTTTTCCCTCGGCCCTTTAAAGGAAGGTCACAGTGACGTGTTCGTGGTTTCAGCACCCTGACCAGAGGAGTCGAGGCCGGAAGGCCGGCGTGACCTGGAGAACACCGCTGCTCTGAGCCTTTCCGGAGCATTCTGTCGACAGTACTCAGCTCCCCACCGCCCCCCCCAGTTTTGAAATTAATCATGTCTCAGGATCTCTGGGGCAGCATTCGACAGGCAGTGACGGAGCGGCTCCAGCCCTGGGGTCCGCTCACGGTCACCTCCAGCAGGCCCCCACTCGCTTATTCCCTGCTTGGGCTGAGAGCTCATCCCTTGAATTGTCCGGTTGGTACGACGACGGGCAGATACTGCAGGAAATGTCCCACTATTCCCAATCAAAGAACGGCTGCGGGGGCAGAATGGCTGGCCGCGGCGGGGGTGTCTGACGATGGCCGACGCTGAAAGGAGCTATATCACCTAACCCCCCCGCCCCTCCCCCAATGTTTCCTCATTTGTCCCTGCCCTTGAATTCTGTTTTCTCTCTGGGGTGGGCCGGCTTGTCACTGCGGATCCTCAGCACATCCCGTGATGCCCTCCGCCGCCCCCCCCCCCATCTCACCTACATGCCTTGCGGCAAAGAGCGACCCTCCCCACCTCTGTTTCTAAAAATTAAAATACAAATTCAAATTCCCTAATTCACAGTAGCAGTGCCCCTAATGTATAATCATCCCGGCCTGTAATCCCCCCTCCACCCCATTCGCCATCTTTACTGTGATTAAGTAGATATAATTACATCTCGTGCGTTCATTTGCGGTTTGCTGGATTAGGTTGCAGGAACTCTGAAGCATTTTTTTTAACCCACAAATGAAAGAGAAGAGCAACACCCAGTAATGCCTTTGGAAGCTCAATTAATTACTGGTTGAGTAATTAAAAGGAGTTAAAGCGTTGCCATTCGTCTGTGGCCGGGCCGTTCCCAACCCGTGGCATTTTGGCGTCTGGCCGTCTCATAAGCACCTCTGTGCTGTAATCCCACCAAACAGCGCTGCGCAGGGAAGGTTCATCTTCTGCCGTACATCCACCTGGTGCCCTCTTTGGACGGGCATGGGATAAGATCTGTGTGCTGGGGATGATCCACTGCGACATCTTTGGGAAAATTCCCGGCACGGACGTGAAATGGAAACGTGGAAAATCTGCGGGATTTGGGGGACGGTCAGAAGAGAGCTGCCAGCGGCAGGTCGTGCCAGAGGAAAGCCGGAAATCCGTATCGCTCTCGAGGGGGCGCTACTCTGCGGGAGACTCACCGATAGTGGGGGGGTTTCCCCTTCCCTGTCCCGCTTTCTGCCAATCAAAAGAGACTGTTCTCGGGGGGGTGACTCGCGGGAAATGGGGCAGCAGTTCTGATTTATCCCGTTTTTGCTGCCGACCATCTGCTGGCCTGTAAACGGGCTCTGCTCTGTGTGGCATGTTTACACTGATAGTCTGTCAGATTAAAACGAGGCTCGCCAGAGGTAATGGTAGTTTGGCCTAGTTGGACATGGGGTCCATCTCCAGCCCCATCGGAGGAATGTGACAGATGCCGCCCAGCTGCTCCCACCGGAGAGCTGGGTATGTGGGGGAGGGTGGGGGGGTGATGCTAGGGTCCCCATCACGCTGAGTCTCCTATCATGACGTCTTCATCTCGCCGGGAGACGCAGAGAGGGAGCAGGCAAGAGAGAGAGCGAATTCCTGACACTATCGGGGGGGGGGGGGCACTACAAGCAGCTTTGGGAAAGTAGGTCATACTTTATTTTAATGGCTTGTTTGTACTGCGAGGAAACGGCTGCAGCGGCGAGCGGAAAAGGCAGCAATGAAGGGTCACTTCACACGGCTCATCTGCCTAATCCGGGCTCCTCCGAGAACATTCCCGCTGTCCCTACATTCCCAGTCGCCCCCCTCAACTTATTTCCTCTCTCATTCTTACTAGTGCCCCGTGACGCAGCCTGTGCCCCCCCCCTCCCCCGTCTCTGTCCTTCACGCCGTTTGTGTTCATGAACGGTGTGAAAGAAGTAGGTCACAGCAGGTTAAAGACGCTGAAGTTGCCGGGATTTACTGTACGCCAGAGCGGACCACAGCCAAGGACGCTGAAAAGCTGTGGTCTGGCAGCGAGCGGCGGGAACCGGACTGAGCCACGTTTGCCCACCGATCCGTCTGCACCCGCAATCTAACGGGTCTGCGCCATGGGGCGTCTGCCGCATTGACAGCTGCCTGCCACTCGTCCTGTGGGAGACACCTGTCCAGGCAAGAAGAACGACTGAAGTTATTGTACTTGAGGGTGGTGGCCACACCCCCAGCCCCACCTTCAACCAAGCAAGATAATGACTTCTGTGGTTCTCTCCACTCCCCCTTAGCCTGTCATAGCAGTGGTTTTTGCATTCCCTAGGTGGTGCTGGTGCTGCTTTGGGTTGTGGGGGGGTTCTCTGTTGTCTGTAGCCTGATACCCCTTTCTGTCAATTCTTCCTAGGCTGGCCGTCCTCACTCTCAGCAACCTGTCTGTGTCTCTTCCGCAGGTCCGAGCCGTTGGTGTGGTGAGCCCAGCGCTGTGCCAGTAGCGGAGCCCAGGGGGGGACACGAGCCCTCCTCCTATCACCGCCCCTCCCCCAGCGATGCGTGCGGGAGGCGGCCCGAGCCACAGCACGCCTCCGCGGCCTCTCCTCTCCTCCTCTTCCTCCTCCAGCTGCTCGTCGTTCTCCTCCTCCCCTGCCCCCCCACCGCGCCCCCACCCTGCGGCAGGATGCCTGCCCCTTCCCCTCCTGCTCTCCCCCAGGCCCTGAGCTCCGCCCCAGGACCATGAGCTCGTACAGAGACCGAACACATTGCGCCCCTGAGCTGCTGGAGGTGGAGGGGGGGCCTCCCAGCTTCTGCTCCCTGCCTCCTTCCTCCCAGATCCCCCTGCCGGACTTCCAGATGTCCAACGGGCACTCCTCGTCCGAACCATCGGCCCCCCCTCGGGTGTGCGTGCCCAAGATGGGCGTACGGGCACGCATTGCCGAGTGGCCCCCCCGGCGGGAGCGCTCGCAGGAGTCCCTGCTGGAGAACGGGCACGGCGGGCAGTCAGGGGCCCCACTGGGGCGTGGCACCATACCGCGCATCACGCGCCTGCAGTCTAAGGACGTGGAGTTCCGGGACGGGATTCGGGGCGGCTCTCCCAGGCTCTTTCGGCCGGCAGCGCCACTGCAGCAGCGTTCGAGCAGTGAGGTGACCCTGAGCGAACAGGACGATGCGGAGGCGGAGGTACGGACTGGTATCTTCCGCGAGTACGGCAGCACCTCCTCCATCGACGTGCAGGGTGTCCCAGAGCAGAGCTTCTTCGACATGCTCAGCCAGTTCCACCAGGAACGGCCCGACCAGCGCAGCACTGCCCCCGCGCATCTTGGGGAGCTCCTCCGGGTTGAAAACTCTGCCCCCAATCCTGCCCCCAGCCCCGCCCCCCAGGCTGTGAGCCCCGCCCCCCGCCTGGATGAAGGCTCCCTCCGGGTTAGGAAGAAGAGCGGCGGCACCGAATCATCGCTGGGCACGTCGTCGCTCTTCCGCAAGCTGCGCAGCTCCAGCCGTAGCGAGGTGGAAACGGTGCGGGGTGAGCTGGACGAAGGGCGCCCCCCAGAGGCCAGGAGGACCTGGCAGTGCCCAAAGAGTTTTGCCCACTACGACGTGCAGAGCATGTTGTTCGACCTGCACGAGGCCTCCAGCCAGCGTGCCCACGTGGCACAGCGCCGCAACACCGGGGCGTCAGCTGCCTCTACTGTTTCCCCCCCCGCCGTGGAGCCCGGCTTCTCCAGCACAGATGACCTGAGCTGCCCAGAGTTGGCTCCCCCTCTTGGCTCGGAGGCTTGCGACGACACTCTGGCACCACTGCTGCTCAGCTGCCCTCACTTCTGCAACGAGACGGGCGGCTGCTCCGAGCGCAATGTCAGCTTCCTGAGCTCGTGGGCGGGGGTGGGGCCGGCGGGGGCGGGGCCAGCGGTGAGCACACGTTGCGCCAACGCCAGCGTCTCCGTGCTGGAGGTAGCCCCCGATCAGCAGCTGGCCACCCGCCTCGAACGTTTCAAGCACTACAGCATCGAGCACGTGGACCTGGGCGCGCGCTACTACCGGGACTACTTCCATGGCCGCGGTAAGCACCCGTGCCGGTGTACCCACTCTCTATGTCCTTATTCTTCAAATCACGGTCCTTGAGGTCTGAGCACTGCTGCTTTTCCAGCCTTCCTTTACCTGTGAGCCTGGTGTGAAGCGTCTGACCAATCAGAATCAGTAATTATTAAACTAACTACCTGGGAGAACTGAAAACACGGCCTGGATTTGGAATCGAGGTCGAGATTTGAAGAGCCCTGCTCTATGTAAATAATCTGAAAATGACAGGCTCACAGAGAACCTTCTGGAGGCCTGGAAATGAGGCCGGAGTCGTATCCGATGGCTTAATTCAAGATTTATCCACTAAAAATTGGCAGCAGCAAATAATGAAACTTTGCTCAGGTTGGATTTAATAAGTCCAAATGCTTCATTTTGATACCATAAAAAAATAAAACACAAAAATTTTTCAGGTCATCTTGAGGGGGCAGCACGTGACTCAGTGGGCTGAGCCTTTGTGTGATCAGAAGGTCGCTGGTTTGAGCTCAGCCTCGGCACATCAGCGGGTCTTTGAGCAAGGCCCTTGAACCCCAGCTCCCTGCGGTGCAACACCAGGTGGCTGCAGTTCGCAGCCAGCTTGCTCTCACCTACAGAGAGCAAGTTGGTGAAGGCTTGAATAAATTGTCCCCATACGGATCAATAAACAATTATTATTTATTTAAAAGGGTTTTGGCTATTTGGGTACCCCCTGCCTGTGAGTTTGGGTACCCCCTGCCTGTGAGTTTGGGTACCCCCTGCCTGTGAGTTTGGGTACCCCCTGCCTGTGAGTTTGGGTACCCCCTGCCTGTGAGTTTGGACTTCACCTTCATCGCCACGCTGGTTTCTGCTATTGATCTCGTTACGAATCTCCTGAAAAACAGTTTTTGCATTTTGGTACTTTTTGAGGGTGAAGTTGACCAATATTTTTGGTCGAACTGTTGAATTCCAATACGTAATCTTCGTGCGTCATTTTGAAGTAACGACAAGGTTGGCAAAAAGAGTGAGAAATATCCTGGATTTTCAGAGGCATGATGCGTTGAATTTTGAATTGTTTCGGCGCAGTCTTTACGCTCTTCTCCAGTCAGTGCGCTTTCCTGCCGGTACCTTCTAGAAAACATCTGGTGGCAGAGCATGCTCCGAGACGACCCCAGAGGCCGTCCCGCGAGCGTAGTGCTGCGTGTCACCACGCAGACAGAAGCTGCCTTTGTACGGTGCGGCAGCGGCCGTAGCGACACGGCTAACTTTACCGCCGCGGCCCCGCTCGCGGTTACCTAACAATGTAATCGCTGTTGGAATCCGCGCTGGTGGTTGAAAGCGATTTGTCAGGCTGCCACCCGACGACAAAGATGCCTCTGTCTGTGCTCGGAGTGTTTTTTTTGTTTTTAAGTAACTTTTGTTGCGGGAGTTTCGTGCCTGTATTTCACCCTGCACCCCCCCTCCCCCACCACCAACGCCAGAGCACTCAACCTACTTTGGGACGGACGACAAGTTGGGTGCGGTGGCCGTCAGCATTCGTAGGGAGAAGCTGGAGGACACCAAGGACTTGAAGGACCAGTACCAGTACCGGCTCATCTTACGGACCAACGAGGTACTGCCCGTCCCACCTGGCTCTGAAACGGACCTTTTGCGATTAATGTTTGATGGGCGTGTGATGATGTGAGAGTAGTGATCAGGGAAATTCAGTGCGGGCTTACAGAGAACCTTCTAGAATCCTGGAAATGAGACTTCCAGACGCTCCCAGATTCATTCCCCGGGTCTGAGCAGCTCTGCACGGTCTCACACATTCCGAACAGAACCAGAACACCTTTGGCACCCAAAGTCGTTCACTAAATGTCCAATAGCCCTGAGCCCAATCAGGATATCTGCTTCTGTTTTGGCTTCCCTTTGGCATCTGAAACGGCAGTGATGCATGCTGACGGTGTTTCTCTCTGCGGCTGCAGCGAAGGGCAGAGACTGATCGCTCTGACCGTACGCGTCCTCGGTCGAGCTTGACTTTAGGGGGTTGCATGTGTGCGTCCGTGTAAAAGAATCCCAAATCTCCATTTCTCCTCGCCTCTTGTTGCTGTCCCTCTCAGATCTGCTGAGTAATGCCTCTGGTTCTCGCTTCCGGCCCGGTGGCTCCTAGCGGGATCACACGGCTGCCTGGCCGCATCAGCTCAGCAGGGCACAGGTGGCGCTGCCTGTGTAAACAGCCCTCCGGGCATCGGGACGCATTATGTCAGTGGCACGTAGCATGCCACCGTGCCAGCCCCCCCCTCACCCCGGCTTGCAGAATCACCGGACCTCACCGGTTTTAATCTGACCGTCACAATACCGGCCCCCGAAACTACAAATGGCCTACCGAGGAATTACAGCGATGCCATACGGAATATTCACGCCGGGAACAAGAGACAAACATTACAGTACAAACAGGAAGTGAATAACTGCCCCCCTCCCATAAAAATGACTGCCCCAAAGTCATCCAAATCAACAGTAAACAAGCAACAATCACAGTTCCTAATCAATAATCAGCGATTAAAACAAGTATGTTGTATTAGTACATTAAACTGGCAAACTCTGTTATACATTTAATACCATTGAGGTGTGACTGACAGGGTAATGAATGCTTTTTATATGCTTGGTTAATTATTGAAACTTTGCTCCCTTTATGAATCAGACAACCAAGAATGTGCAAACTAACCTTCCATTTATGATTTTGATGGGGGTTAAAGTGGTTGGTTACTGGAGTGGGAGGGGTCACTGGCTAAATGGAGATTTAATAGACTGCACTGACGTGGCTGCAGGTTTGAGTTTCTGTGTAATGTCACATGGTCCGTCCATCTTGTTTTTGCTGTCCTCCTCCCTCTCGTCACGGTCCTTGCTTCTCCCGGCCTGCAGATGGTGACACTGCGCGGGTCAATCCTGGAGGATTCGGTGGCGTCGACGGCGCGGCATGGCACAGCGCGGGGGTTACCGCTGAAGGAGGTGCTGGAGTGCGCCACCCCCGAACTGAGCGTGTCCTGCCTGCGGCTAGCGCTCAACACCCCCAAGGTCAGCGAGCAGCTCCTGAAGCTGGACGAGCAAGGGGTGAGTGTCTGACCTGTCTGGCAAGGGGAGGGCAAGGGTCAAAGGTCAAAGAGGACGACAAATGGCCGCAGTGGGGTAAACGAGCAGAGCGGGGGTCAGGAGGGGGGTCGGCCGGAAGATCGACAGGCGGAATTGTGCAGGCCGGGTGTTCATGTGTACCCTAAACCCCCCCCCCCCCCCCAGCTGCCCACAGCCGTGCTTATGCTCAGTAGGGTGAAGGGCGCTGTCTGTGATCCGGCGCGGCTGATTGACTGCCCTTGTGTTTGCAGCGGATTCGACAGGAACGCACTCGCTGTACACCACCTACCTGGACTACGAGGTCATGTTCCATGTCTCCACCATGCTGCCCTACATGCCCAACAACCCGCAGCAGGTAGGGCACTTCTGCGCACACACACACACAGACACACAGACAGACAGACAGACACATAAAGACACACACAGACAGACACACACACACATACACATAAAGACACACACAGACAGAGACAGACACACACACACACATACAGACAGAGACAGACACAGACACACACACACACATACAGACAGAGACAGACACAGACAGACACACACACACACATAAAGACACACACAGACAGAGACACAAACAGACACACACACACACAGACAGAGACAGACAGAGACAGACACACACACACACATAAAGACACACACAGACAGAGACAGACACACACACACATAAAGACACACACAGACAGAGACACAAACAGACACACACACACACACAAAGACACAGACAGAGACACACACACACAGACAGAGACACACACACACAGACAGAGACACACACACACAGACAGAGACACACACACACAGACAGAGACACACACACACAGACAGAGAGACACACACACACACAGACAGAGAGACACACACACAGACAGAGAGACACACACACAGACAGAGACACACACACACACAGACAGAGACACACACACACAGACAGACAGAGACACACACACACACACAGACAGAGACACACACACACAGACAGACAGAGACACACACACACAGACAGACACACGCACGCGAGTTGCCCTTTACAGGAATCCAAACATGTTATTGTATCCGCCACTACGACGCGAGGCATTGGAGCCCAACCGGCTCTGTGGGTTACCGTCGCTGTTGTTGTTGATCTTCATCTTCCTCTTTCGTTTTCAGGCCTTGCTCGCGGCAGGGCGTGGCCGCCCGTTCTTTAGAGTAGGGGAAAAAATGCCACGCCGTAATTGGCAATGCCAGCCTGCGCTCTCCCCATGACCGCATGCGCGTGTGTGTGCTCCTCGTGCGTGTGGGATTATTGATTTGTTCGTGTGGTATTTCCGCACATCTCTGTAGCAGAGGCAGGATTTGCTAAGGCTTTGTTTTAAATATCCAGGGTTGTCTGGCAAGACCAGCAGAGCGCCGAACCGTACTGAGCGTTCGTGTGCCAGGGTGGCGGTTTTGTGCAGCGAGACGTGTAACCCAGGAACCTTCTGCAAGAACAGCCGGATGCGAGAACACATTAGACCTCCAGGGGGCAGTGTTACATCACCGGACTGCGCATGTTACCCAGCAGTCTGCCTTGTGTTTTCGGGTAACATTTCGAGTGAACTCGGAGATGACTGCAAGATTTATGAGCTCCAGCTTAATCCAGAGCGTGGGTGGGTGGTTGGATGTGTGGGTGGGAAGCTGGGGGGGGCGAGGGCGGGGGGCCATATCCATCAAAAGAGGCTGTTGTTCCGGAAGCAGATGCAAATGTCGAGCACGGTGAAGGAGGTGCTCTGGTGCAATGGGGTGGTTTTGGAGCGGCAGAAGTCCCTCCCGCGTAATAAATCCCTTTTGTCAACATGGGGTCTCGTCCCACTGAGTGTTGACCTCAAACACACAAGTACGTGTGTTTACATGCTGCCTGAGACGCATTAGCATTCTGGCTTGCAGTTGTGCGTTCCCAAAGAACCCTATGACCAAGAGAATCAAATTTTATACTGAGATTAGCGCCTCATACTGGTTGCGAAGGGGTAGAGCATGCCTGTGAGTGACATTACCTGTCTGAGTCTGACACAGCACATAATAAAAAGCATTACTATGCCATCGCTATGTTAGTAGGAGTCGTCAGAGTTTTCCCGCTTTTTTGTCGCTCATTGTGCTATTTACAGCCCTTCACCCTGCTGATGTACAGAATTGTGCAAAAGTCCGTTTCAAAGTCTCCCCTAATGTGAGCCCAGTATTTGACCCAAGTATTCATTACTTCGACCAGTATCAGTAACTTTTTGGAGAACAGAAAAAATGTTGTTGTTTTTTTTAAAGTGTTGCTGTTAATTTGTTAAATTGTGTTCGAATATTAAATTGTGCAATTGTGCCTAAGACTTTTGCGCAGTACTGTATTTTCTAACAAAACTTCCCCCACAATGATAGCAACTGCTGAAAAATATACTCTGGGGTCATCGAAGCTAGTCCCCCTGTTTAGTGGGTGTAGGCATGAGCATGCACTGTCGCAGGTCTCGGGGACAGGTTGTGTCACTCAGTGTGACATAACCGCGTGGCCCACTCGGACAGTGACGCGGGTTGGTGTCTGCGTGTGTTATTAATAGCGAAGGATTAATGCAGCGTTGTTCTGCTCTGCGCCCTGGCAGAAAGGCTGCCTCGCACGTCTATGCATGCCGAGTAGTGGCATGCATCAAATTGTCACATTTTTTTTAGTTGGGGAAACTGGAAGGTAGAGGAAAGGGATTCAGTAGAAAGGAATTGGATGTTTCATTGAATGGAATTGGGGAGGGGGACGAATGAAATGGAAAATGAAAACAAAAACTTTGGTGATTTGAAATTTATGCTTTATTTGCCATTTGCACAAGTATGAAAACAGGGACATTAGAATGGTTCTTTTCACATATCCCATCTTGATCTCCTTTGAGACACAAGCGTGCACATACACACACACACACAAGGTCCCAACAAACACGTGACTATTCTGCCCAGGATAGGATTCGAACCAATAACCTTCTGGACATAGGCATGAGCAACCCCCCCCCTTTCGTGCCAGTAGGTGAGAATTCCAAATACAGTAGTTCTATAGATGCAACTTAACGCTTCAGTTAAATCTCACAAATGTGTTGCCAAAAGTAGAGAGACTGATTGGGGTTTGACACTGTGAGGCCAAAACTCACTAGCCAGTTCCTGGGGATTGTTTCAGTTCTCGATCATCAAAGGCTGTCAGGCTGTATTTGGATGTCACACATTCTGACGTGTTGCCATCATTCTAAAGTGTTGCCTGAAGCTCGCAGGGTCGATCAAATCCCCAACTGCCGTAGAGGTTGATGGCACCAGGAAAACACGGCAAGCTCTTGAGATGAGAGCGCAGTGCCCAGATTCACTCCCTTTTTTTTGTCGTGTTTTTTTTTTCTAGAATGATTTGCGAAGTACATAGTTTGTTACTTTGCCTGGGTAGATGACAGTATTACGTCAAAAAAACAGACAAAATTCCAGGCAAGAATCAAATTAAATGACCAACTCTTCGTCTTGCAAATGACACTCGTGGTCCAATGCCGTTCCAAGCTTTTATTTTCACACCGTCTGAGACTGTGACCTCCCTCCCCAGCTCCTGAGGAAGAGGCACATCGGCAACGACATCGTCACCATCATCTTCCAGGAGCCTGGCGCGCTGCCCTTCACGCCACAGAACATCCGCTCGCAGTTCCAACACGTCTTCGTCATCGTCCGTGTGCACAACCCCTGCACCGATGACGTTTCCTACAGGTACAGAACATTCCTGTCCTTCAAGTCCCAGATTGCTTCTTGTCTGCTCACTTGCTACAGTTGTCATAAGTTTACTGAGTAGCATTCGCGTATGTTTCTGGAATGTCGGCTGCTCACCTAGAACATTTTTTCCATAATGGTTGCCATGACGCCATAATTGCGCACGATTGCCTGATCGGTCACCCGCGCCCTTGCGATCCGCAGCGTGGCTGTGACGCGCATGAAGGACGTGCCCATGTTTGGGCCACCCATCCCCAACGGCGTGACCTTCCGCAACCCGGAAGTGTTCCGGGACTTCCTGCTGGCCAAGGTGATCAACGCGGAGACCGCCGCCCACAAGTCGGAGAAGTTCCACACCATGGCCCGGCGCACGCGGCAGGAGTACCTGCGCGACCTGGTCGAGAACTGCGCCAGCGGCACCTTCCTGGACTCGGCAGGAAAGCTCAACAACCTCATATCGCTGGCCTCCAAGAAACGGGAGCGGGCACGGGCCCGTGAGGGGGCCGAGCTGGGAGCACTGGGGGCCGTGACCTGGCGCGTCACGGCCCAAGACTTCAGCGGGGGCGGGGCGGAACTGGCCTGCGTGCTGGGCGTGTCCGGCGAGTACGTCGTGCTGGTGGACTGTGGCACCAAGGGGGTGGTCTTCAACTGCTATTGCGCCGATGTCATCGGTTGGACTCCTGAACGCCTGGCCCTGAAGATTTACTACGGCCGGGGTGACCACATTGCCGTCAGGGTGCCCGAGGGCTGGGCCCAGGACATACGCGAGATCGTCCAACGGCTGAAGGTAAGGAGGGGTGGAGTTTGAAAAGGGGCGGAGTCACGTAGAGGTACACCTTATGTCCAGTAGAGCAGTGGTATTCAAACTTTTTTTGACAGGGCTCCCCTAGGGCTGATATATTTGTCCTGTTTCCCCACCCCCACACACATCCCAAATTAACTTTACACGATGATAGCTTTTTTTTTTTCTTTTCATAATTCATGTGTTCACATTAGTTTTATTGTTTCTAAAGGCTGCAATTTTGAAATAGTTTTGTGTTCAGAACTGTAGAAGCCTTTCGGATGACAGGTCAGTGTTTCCCCAACCATTATATTAGGGGGGCGCCCCGCCCCCCCTTGAAGGTCAAGTTAATTTTATTTCATTTCATTTTATTTTATTCTCTATATAGCGCCAGATTACAACAGAAGTCATTACCTTTCCTATAGAACAGGTCTATACATTGTCCTTTTATTAAACAAACTAAATAGCCTTATGTTATTTATCTTATTTAAACAACAGCTTGTTATTTAAACACTGCAGGTGAAACGTTTTTAAGAACATGAAAAAAGACGTCGAGGTGCATTCAATTCAATCCTTCAAGATTCTTGCCTGGGGATGGCCAAAATGACTGATCTGAATGATTGATCTCGGAGACGTCCACCGATTAACTGTTCATGCAAATCATAGAGTTCTTGATCTTTGTCCACTACTAATGTTCCCAAATTTCACATGAAACTTCAGGCCAGTAATAACGTAGATCCGTGCTACGTTGACAAACCAGCAGAATGATTGAATCAGAATCAGATGGCTGAGCTGATTGGCTGAATTATATCATGTGTCTCTATCATAGGGTCTTTTTAATGCGTGATGTATTTGAAAAACAATTCATTGTGAATGGTACTAAAAAGGGACTGGACTTCAGTAGTGTGACAGTGGTTCTGCTATGCACAGTCAGATATTTCACAAAGCTGAGTTATCTGTGGTCAGCACTTCCGGAAGTAATACAACAAATCTATTCAGCCACCTTACTAATAAACAACTGTTTAAAATAAAGTTACTCTAAACTCCTAACTTTAATGACCATTTAAAACAGGGGTCTCCAACTCCGGTCCTGGAGAGCTACTATCCAGTAGGTGTTCTGTCCCACTTGGCTTCTGATGAGCCACACCTGTTCTCAGGTAAATACCAGGAGCAGGTGTGGCTCATCAGAAGCCAGGTAGGATAGAAAACCTACTGGACAGTAGCTCTCCAGGACCGGAGTTGGAGACCCCTGATTTAAAATATACTGCAGCATTGTGTTTTAAATTATGCTAATGGATAAGTCCTTAGGCTTGTTTCAGTCTGGATATTCTTGACCGTACATTTCAAAATTGGGAAGAAAGATTACAGTTCAAGTCATGGATCGTGATTGTGTGTTACGAAGTTTGCGATATGAATTTTTTTTAGAGCAATTGCCCACCCCTAGGTCTGCCTCCACCTCAAACCCGCTGCACAATTCCCCATTTATTTATTTCCTCCTCACCTATGTCCCCCATGCGGTTCTTTTATTCTCCTCCAGGGGGGCGCACCTCACATTTTGAATACCACTGCTGGGTGATGGATTCGTTTTCAGTTTTGCTTTTCTCAAACTATTGCCGCGAGTCATGAGGTATTGGCATGTGCTTGCCGTTGTGAGAATTTCTGGCGAACAGACCGATTTGTTACACAATGGCATTTACTTGGCAAAGAAACGAAAATATAAATTCGCATACATTTGCGTTGTATCATCCAGAAGCCGAGGTTCGCTGATGTGTCTGACGCATAAGACGAATCCAGTGTTATCGTTACTTCTCCTGTAAATGAGCTTTCTAGTCATCCAAAAATTGGCAGCTGAACACTTAACAGTTTCATTTGTCATTTGTTTGGTTTGATGTATCCTAGATAAGATTAGATTTATGCCCAGAGAGAAATTCATTGACATACAGTGACAGCAGAACATAAAGTGCACGGATCCAAATCTTAGCCCGTTTTATTTTTTTGGTTTAGTCTGAATTTGTCAAGCTTAAACAAATTGCCGATTCTGGCAGTTTTTCTTGGCCCTGTTAGTCATGTTATTAGTCTTCATGGCCTGATTAAGTTACAGTAGGGGATGGGTTCGAATACCAAACAGACAAATGGTCAAGGAGCAGCTTCTGCCCTGTTTAAGCCACTGAACTGACCTGATTTTATTTATAGTTTGGATTGAAATTGTTTGTTTGTATCTGGTAGCAGGTTGCCATTTTTGTTTTGTCAGTGTGTGCATGGTAGGTGCACTACTAGTGAAAGGTCTTTGCACACCACAGGTTTTTACTGCTTTTCCATTTATTTCATAGACTGCTGATTTTATTATTCTTGTTAAGCATCGGAAAATTGAGTGAACAACTATAAATGAAAACAAAAAAACAAGTTTTTTTATAACATGGAAAGAGTATGTAACACTGCATGTCTGACATCCTATTAACTGGTTGTGCGATGATGGCAGAGTCAAATTCTAGGCTGTCCTTTAAATTTAAATGCACTAGTTAACTGTTTCATCCCCTGAAACAGAGCAGTATAAAATGCCACTTTCTTGCTGATAAAGGTACTCAAACGGTAAACACACAGCATATTTATTTGTTAGCAAAGAACATTAAGCGTATTTTTTAGTAAATATGAAGTGAGTAACATGCACGTGCAGAAAGTCTGAGTGTGTGCAAAAACTTTTGACGGGTAGTGCGTGCAAATGCCTGGCTTTGTGCCCCCCACCCCAGGCCCTGACGGTGGGCTGTGAGACGGTGGACATGACCCTGCGGCGGAACGGCCTGGGCCAGCTGGGCTTCCACGTGCGGCTGGATGGTACCGTGGCCGAGGTGGAGGAGTACGGCTTTGCCTGGCAGGCCGGCCTGCGGCAGGGGAGCCGCCTGGTGGAGATCTGCAAGGTGGCCGCCGTCACGCTGTCCCACGAGCAGATGATCGACCTGCTGCGCACCTCCGTCACCGTCAAGGTGGTCATCATCCCGCCCTACGACGAGGGGGGGCCGCGCAGGTGAGCTTCCGCTCGGGTGCGGGGGAAGCCGGCAGGCTGTAAGCGCGAATTTGGATTCCGGGAGCTGGTGTGGGGGGGGGTGGAGGGGGCGTGGGTGGCAGCACGGTGGGGGTCGCTCTGCCAGGAGCTGCTTCTGCTGCTGTAGCATCCTGCGAAA